CAGTAAGAACTGTGGCCTCAGGGAATGAGAAGCTTATTAGCTTCTAGAACCATTTATGAAGCTGTTTCCAGAATGACTTTGCTCAGCTCAGCCCTCTGCACAGAAAACCTACGACACAGAAGACTCAGATCTCTGCTCCCAGAACACTGGTGCCAGGAGAAGTGCACCTACACTGGGGACCCTCGGGAGAACTAGATAATGGTTCAGACTTGCACCTTCCCTATGTATTTGAAAAGCAAACCACAGCCTTCTAAACCAGATGTTGTCAGTTCAGACCCTACTCCAAACCCAGAGTGATGCTGGGTAAAATATAAAAACAGAAACTAAAAATAGCTTTGTCAGTTCAAAAACAAGATAAGATCTCTTTGGACCAAAACTAGAACAGAACTAAGATCAGTAAGCAAAGCTGAAGTTCCTGACCTCGGGTCTGGAAGCAGGTAGCAGGGCACACATTCGGGTCCAGGTGTTAGCTGGGAATAAAACGTGCCACACAAGAAAGGTGAGCAGAATCCCAGCCTAATGACAGGAAACGGGGTGCAGCTTCCATGCTTAGAAAAGCCATCGAGTCTGGAGAATCAAGGCTGATGATCTGTTCCCTTGGACTGGAAGTTGTGCGCCTGAAGAGGCAGCAGACAGAGAACCATGAAGCCCACATCTAGGTGACTAGATCTGCAGTTGCCTCAACAATACAGGGGTGCTTAGACATGTGTGCCAGGAAGTCCGACTTTGAACTGGGGGTTGTAGGATGTATGAGATAGGAAGACAAAGCACAGGAGAGAAGGAGGAACAAAACTAAAACAACTGTCCACTGAAAATGAGCCTGCTGTAGAAAATTCCAAAATGTGGAGGTGAACTGCCATGCTTAAGAAAGAGAACTAACAAAAACCATCAGAACACGGTTTCTCTCTGAAAGAGAATTTGTGGTACTAAGACTTAAACAAGCACGATTAGGTGGTTCAAATAGGTAACTAGTATAGGAGCATGCATGAGAGGTAAACAAGACGCCATAAAACAAAAACAGAAATAGGATACAAACACAGAGAAATGAAAAAGTGAGTTGAGGGCCGGGTTAGAGCTTAGTGGTAGTAGTGCTTGTCTAGAATTCGTGAGGCCCTCCCTGGGTTCCATCCCCAGCAGCTCAAAAGAGAAAAAAGTAAATTTGAAATCCTGGAAATAAAAAATAGTCTTTAAATCAAGGCTTCTGTATAGCAAAAGCCACCCCTAGCACCTACTTAGGGGAGCTTCACCTTTAGAAACGCAAGCAGGGGACACACCGCAGTGGGACAGGCCGTCTCTAGGGCAGGACCCGAGCAGGAAAAGTGGTCAAGGGTTCTAGTGTTTTCAAGAGAGTGCTTTGGCTTTTCAAACTGTATACTTCCTTCACTTTAGAAAAAAATTAAATGATAAAAATGCAAAATCCTGGCTGCAAGAAATGACACTAATGAAGACTACCTGAGCATACAACATCCCAGCTCCCATCTACAGACTCGGTCTTATACCTGGAATGCAGCAAACCATCAAGAGCTAGGTCTCACTGTGGCATTGTTTACCCATCTTGTTCCTTCTTTCATTAAGTTATGCTGTGAAATTACATCAACCAGACGCACTGAGGAGTACTGTGAACATCAGCTATTTCAGTTGTTGTGGATCTCATAGGGACGTTTTGTGAGCACCTCTGTAAGGAAACTGTGATTTGGATGGGGGACACATGTGTTCAACTGTATGGCTGCTATCAGTTTTGGAACTAGGCTTCCCCAGTGCCACCAAAAAAAAAAAAAAAAAAAAGAAAAGAAAAAACTGTGGGCGCTTATCAAAGACATGCTATGTCACCTGGCATGCATTCTGGGTACTAACCAGTTTTCATCTTGTCTCTTGTCACTCTTATTCCTCAAATAAATATAAAATTTATGGCTGTTGTATGGTATATGAGTATATAATTATACACATATATGTGAATATGTGTCTGTGTGTGTATGCACAGACTTTGGAATCTTTTAGGTGGGGAGGGTTACAATTAGATGAAGGAAGTTGGTGACGCTGAGAAACAGATGGAACAGAGGGCTGGATCTTGGGTGGTTATTTTGAAGAACATGAATACCAAGCTAAGAGTGTAAAGTTTACCCTGAACACTAAAGAGAACGTTTAATGTTGAGCAAAGCAAGGGAACAGTGGATGTGAGGAAGATACTGCTCATCGGCACATTGGATGGATGCAGGGAAGAAACCAAGGCCAGGAGAACAAGTAGGCACTTCCACAACCCAGAAGGGAGGCAACAGGGCTTTGTGGTGTCTTAAAAGGAGAACCAAATGGAACAGGCATTGGGAAGGAAAAGATTTTTTTTCCTAGTAAAGCATGTGACATCCGAGGAAGCACGCTAAGTACTATTCACAAACTTAGGGAAACTAATCCTAGTTGGTCTGTTCTGCATGTGTTGCCTTGGATTCTGACATGGGGAAGCCAGAAGAGAGTCTGGAGCATTTCAAAATCTCCCCTAGATGGTAAGTTTTGTTTCCTCCAGAAACTGACTATTGGTGATTACAAATAGCAATTCCACACATGCAAATTATGCCAGCTATGCAAGGTTTCTACCTTCCTGCAACATGGTAGCACCAAGTCCAGCAACACGCACATGAAGACATGCAACAAACACAGTTTGGTGCACAGACCTGGTAAAGATGAACTTTCTGGGTTCCAAGAAAGGCAGAAAAGCATGCTTGTAAACTTTAAATCTAGGACTTGAAGAACAATTAATTTTGACTGCATTAAATTTGAATTTATGATCTTTGGGGAATGCACTAAGCTGAATTTACCACTGAATTATTCCTCCTAAGTAAAATAACGGTACAGAGACTTCAAAGGGATGTATACAGCTCAAACAGAACAAAACTCTAGATGAATGGAAACCTAAACAAGTAACTCATGAACCAAGAGCAAACCAAGTGTAGTTCTCACCTACAAAAATACCCTCATCTCTTCTACACACAAACGTCCAACAGCAGAGCTGGGGGGTGTTACGACCATCTACTAAAAGTCTCTTGTATTACGGATGAACAGATCTAAAGAGGTTGAACGGCTTGCCCAAGACCACTCAGTGTGCTAGATACTGAATGGACCGAAATTTGGCAGAGTAACCAAATACTTTGTGTGTATGTGTGGTGCTGGGGTTTGAACTTGGGACTTCGTGCTTGTTAGGCAGAGACTCTATGAATGAACCACACCTCCAGCCATCAGATACTTTTTCTGGCTCTACCATCTGGCCTATCTCTACTCAATATTCGTGATGGCCAAAGCTGTGTGTCAGCTTGAATGCCCAGCACCGGCACTTGAGCCACGGACTGTGCAGCAGAGGAGACTGCTCTCCTGGTGTGGGTGGGCCCTCATTCAACAGGTGAAGTCCTACACAGAGCAAGAAGGCTCCATCAAGTAAGAGGGAACTCCTAACTTACTGCTTAAGCTGGGACCCAGGTCATTTCCTGACCTCGGTCTGAAGCCTGCCAGCTTTGGGCTGGAACTCAACTCACACCACTGGTTCTCTTGAGTATCTAGCTTCCAACTGCAGGTCTTGGGACTTCTTAATCTCCATAATGTCATGACCCAATACTTTACAATCAATTAATCACATCTCTCTCTCTCCCTCTCTCTCTCTCTCTCTCTCTCTCACACACACACAACTTGCGAGTTGCATATTAGCATTTCAGACTGCATGTAAGACTATGGAGCTGAACAGAATAGGACGGAGCTGAACAGACCCCACTGCACAGCTGTGGTAGTGTCCCTCTGCTCCTAGTATGGAGTCTGAAAAGTAACATACAGTTTAACTCTCAGCCTCTTTCACAGCCAGCAGCAGCCAGGTGATGCAGTTTTGTAACACTGCAGCACAACGTATTACTCACGCGTTTGCCAGGTGAACAGACCTACTGCACTACAAGGAGAATAAAGACAGCACAAGCAATTACGCGCAATACAGAACACTTAACGACAACAAGCAACCGTGTAACTGGCTTATGTATTCACCACACTGTACTTCATGGTTGTTTTAGAGTGCATGCCTTCTACTTACAAAACGCTTACTGTAAAACGGCATTCTGTCTTACTCTATGTTTGCACAATGAGAAAACTGCCTAATGATGCATCTCTCAGAATGCATCCCCACCATCAAGTGACACGCATGTACACGTGTGTCTGTCTCTGTGTGTGTGTGTGTGTGTGTGTCCTTTTTTGCTGTTTCTCTGTAGAACTCTGATTAACACAGTATTAAATAAGCTTTTAGTGCAACAGATTAATAGAGAGTAAAGAAAATGGTCTAATGGGACAGAGACATATCCCCAAACCATCCCCACCCTCTGCTCCTCAGTATCAAGTCTGAAAAGTAAAATATAGTTTCTCAGCCTCTTTCACAGCCAGCAGCAGCCAAGTGATGCAGTTTTGCACAGTGACATGTAGCTGAGCTTCCCTTTGCTTTCTGCCTTTTGTAGCCCCTTCTTTTCCCTGTCTAGGGATGCTAGGGACAGTTGAGGGGGGCAGGAATGATTTGGGGTTTACAATGAGATCTGCAAGCAGCTCTGGTCTTGGATTACTTCTCCAGAATCAAGACAGATAAACCCCTCCTACTAAAGCCAGGTTTATTTACCTTTATTTGTAGCCAAATCCTTTCCTGGCTATTGTGGTCTGGAAAATGAACGTGATCTCCATCTTTAAAACATTCATTCACTCTAGAGTTCCTGAAGGTCCAGTATACTTAAGAGGAACTAAATCCAAGAGTCTTTCATTCTTAACCACGGATGCTGATGGGAAGCTGGCATGGTACAATTCCAGATTATAGTTTGGGGCAAGTCCAAGGGATCCTTTAGGATTCCTGGCATGCTGTCTAGTGAAAAAACAGGTAACACTAGAGTAGACTGAATTTTGGGAAGCTATCAGCAGTGGATCTAATATTTACCACTTAAATGTTTCTAAAAGTTCTTTTTAATGTAAAACTATGTTCACTGATTCCTGCAGCTTTAGAATGAGCTCGTGGTCCTCTTTTGGGCAGTGAGAGCAATTACCTCCCTCCACTGATACTGACTCACAGCAGAAGTCACAGATAGCCATGGGATAGTGTATGCAGTGCTCAATTTCATCAGAAAATCTGAGTGTGACACCTGGTTCTGCTATTTTTTTCCTTCCTCCTATCCCAGAGGCATGTCTCTGAACCTTTCTGGATTTCCTAATTTATTTACAATATTGACAGTAAATGAGATACTGATCACTAAAGAACTCTAACGATATAAACACCTACAAAAGTAAGGATACATCAGATAACCCAATTGCGTGCAAACTCAAAGTAAATAGACTCAAAATGAGGAAGACATGAGTGATGGAGAACAGTGTCTTCATATCTCTATGGCATTTGTTCTGGCTCCTCTTCCTTACAGAGATAAGGGTTGCTAGGCGAGTGATCTCCATCTGATACAGTGCTGCAGAAGACAGCCATGTGGAACAAATTTTAAAGAGATAAACATCTTGATTCCACTCGATGGTGTGTCTGAGTCAGGACTCTCGCTAATCAGAATGTAACTCAGCCCTCTCATTATTCGCTCTGGAAGCGCTCTGGACTTCTGTATTCTTCGATTGCAAGTTTATGCTTAATGTGTACATTCCCAAAACACTCTAAGCCTTGTAGATCTTCGCCTGGACTCAACCTCAGCTTGGGGCCAACAGAAGTTCCAGAAGAGAAAACTGTACTTGCGCAAAGCTCTGTTTTACTTACTCGCCTCTCCCACCATGCTCTCAGCATCCTTTACTTTTGGATTAATGAAATCAAGGCAGAGTTTTGTGAGCGATCTCTGAGGTACTGCCTGGGAAGTGTTCCAATCTGGTTCCATACAACATACCTTGTCCTGGGTTTGGCACCGGACACAGTCACACTCGAAGCAGTACTGGTCCCTCAGCTGCTGCCGACGCTCCTCACTGGTCATCAGCACGTCCAGGTAGCAGATGGTGAGCTGCAGGGACCAAGAGGGAAGTGTTCACAGGGCCACTGTGCTCATTTGCCTTACCTACCAGTAATTATTACTGTTACTCATCAGAGCAAAACTTGTTTGTTACACAGCAACAAGTGTAAGAGAGAAGGTAGCCTCTCACCTGAACAATCTCATGTCAAATTTTTATGGATTTTCTTCCAGCCTTTGATCAGTGTGAATATATAAATATATATAACTTCAATATGAATATATATCTGTTCAGTGTGAAAATATATATATATATACCACCTATTTATTTTGAAGAATTGGGCTCACGACCTCTGTAAATTTTTGTACCTTGCCTTTCTCCCTATTAAACAGAAAACTGCCGGGAGCTGTTGTATGTTTGGTATTACCAAGGTTCAGCTTGTAAATTCTGTAACCCCTGGCAATCAGAGAAGCCAAGCTCATCCTGGCAATCAAATGGGTAGCAGATGATGTAACCAGATTGCTCTTAAATCCTAATCAACTCTACAGCTGCCTTATGGAATTTAGGGTCATCCTACTTTGCAGCCTTTGAAATTAGGAGATAATTCTCTTACTTGCTACTAGAGCAAAAAAAAAAAAGTGGAATGATTTCCAAATGGAGAAAGGGGATCGTCAGAGCACTGATGACCATCAGCGGAGACCAAGTTGATTTCCTCGGGCCCTTCACACACAGCAATTAATCCCTGCCTCGGATAGTGAAAGTCCCGGTGAGAGGATGTGGTTAAGGGATTGCAGGCTTCTCTCCAAGAAGCCACTTTGTGTCACAGGTCTTGAGGCCACCTTGTGACCCTTAAACGTTTTTCACTTGACGAGGTCTCCAGTGCACTTAAATCCAATTCAAATACCTAAAAACACAACTCCTGATGTGCCCACCTGTTCCATCTCAGAGCCTTCCCAAACTCAGCAAATCCCCTCAGAGGCGTCCTTGACTCTACCACCCAAATCCAGCAGGAATTTGGAAACATATCCCAAGCCAACCATTCTTCACCTTTTCCAGCATACCACCCTGATATGAGCCAGCCTCATCTCTTACCCGTGAAATCTAAGAGCCTTAGGGACTGGTCTCCCTTCTTTTTCCCCTAGGTCTCCTGCGCTCCATCCTCTAGCCAGAGTGATTCACTAAAACTGAAGTCAGATCAGGGCTTCCTTCTGCCTGAAATGCCACAACAGCGCCCCCTTAGGGCCAAGTCTTTACAATGGACTCCACACTGCAACTCAAGTCTGTCTCCTAGACTGGAGCTGTCCATAGGGAGGCTAGCCCCACTCCTTCCTACCCCCATGAAGTGAAGAAAGAAACTCAAAGTCGACATTAACAGACTTTTATGCTAATTTGGAAAGAGTAATTTTATGTGATTTCAATACTAAAACACTGTACCTTTACCTCGTTATTTTTTTAGTTTTTATTTTTTCTATGAATTCTTCTTCAGTAACTTTCATAAAGAACACTGGTCTGCAAATAAGTCAGGGGGAGAGGTAGCTCTTTCATCTCAGGCAGTCAGAGAAGCAGCGGGCTCACCTCAGCTGAGCCCCTCCCCTCTGAATTCACGCCCCACCCTCCTGTGGCTCTGGCCAGCCTGGTCTCCTGCTGTCCCTGCACTTACACCCCAGTCTCACACTGGCCACTCCTCTGCCCCTCTCCCATATCCACTATGGTGACCTCCATTGCTTCTTTCTGATTCAATCAAATATCACATTCTCAATGAGGCCTAACCTGTCACCCTATTTAAAATAACAACCTGGTTCCCACCCTACCCCAGCACTCCTAATTCCCTCACCTGTCTCTGGGTTTGTTTTGTTTGTCCTGCAACATATGTCAGCTTGTACTGTACGGTATAAGCTGCCTCTTCATTTGCTTTTAAGTGTAGAAGTAATTATGGGGGAGGTGTGTGGTGGGGGAAGAAGGGGTGCTGCAGGAGAGGAAGAAGGTAGGATTAGCTACTGAGAGCTGAGAACCTCCCCAGAGCAAAGCAAATGGTTTTCCTTATACTTAAAAGAAGCGTCTTATGTCTACAAAACATGACACTACTTGTTTGAAATCGAGAAGGGCAGAGTAGACCATCCTCTTTGACAGAAAGCAGCTCTGGGAAGGCCTCACTCACTTGGGCTGCCTGTGGAGGAGGAGGTCTGACCAGCCAGGTCTGTCAGATCTACCATGGCCACCACCATGGCGACAATGGCCGCAGCTCACCTGGCTGGCAGGCTGTCTGTCGACTCTTCATGTCAGGCAGGTATAATATTCTGCTTTGCACACAGGAGCACAGACAGCCATGTTGCCAAGCATCTCTATGAGCTGGGCACTCCTGGGACAGTGTGGAACACTGACACCAGCAAAGGTCTGGGGTTCGGGTAACTCCTGATTTTGCACCTGGTGATCTCTTGATTCGAGCTTGAAACTCTTTTACACGACAGCACTTCTCACACCTCAGGGTCCAAGGGAGAGGCTGGTGGTCCAGAGCTGCCTCAGTCACTGAAAAGTGCAGACCTGTACGAGAAAGCGTTCCAGTTCTGTGGCCCGGGCTCCTCAGCCCACACTACACACGTTTGATTCCCTGGACCCTTCTCCAGCGTCTGGATTGGAAGCCCGGACTATCTCTCAGGTTAGAGGGCTATGTGTTAGGAAGTTCCTCTGGTTTCCTGAGAACGCCAGGTTCCATGCTGAAACAGTCATTCTCTAAGCATGTGCCTGTCAGGAAGTTTGAGGGTACAAACTCTCTTCCAGCCAGCCATAGACTATCTGTATCACATCTCCTCATTAAGGTGAGGTTGCAAATGAGCTGACCTCTGTGTTCCTTTTGGACTAATCCAGGACATTCATGTTCACTGCAGCCCAGTGGCTCTGAGTCACAGGCCCACTGTCAGAGCAGAACACTGGTAGTGTTCTCGGGTGGTTACTGTGTACCTCACATGGAGCCACCAACTCCAAGGTAATTGGAGTCTTCATCCTGAGGGCCAGAACCCACAAGAGACCATGCCAGTGAATGGAGTCATCGACTCTAATGAACAGATGCAACAGCCACCCTCAGTCTCCCATGTCTGCCCGCAACTGATACCTGGCTTGCGTGATGGCTTTCTAACTGACCTCCCCACCACCTTCTGCTGACCTTCTTCTAAACTGCCTGAGACAGATCTTCCCACACTCACATCTGATCGTGGTGTTTCTCTACACAGACTTCTGAGGGTTTCTCACGTTTGTGGGATGAATCATGCAAGGTTTCCCCTTCCCGACTGTCAGTCTGCCTTCTGGTCTCAACATCGTCTCCAGCACCCTACAGCCAGTCACGATCATGTGTACTGTGATGCCTCTGGACCAACGCTCACCATGCCAAAGGCATTCTGTGCATCGATGCCTTCACCAGCCAGGACCCTTCCCACGCTCATCGCAATCCTGGCTTAAACACACTCCTACCTTGGAGGTCTGCCCCTTCCCTCAGAGATAGTGGTCCTTTTCCCTGTGTCTCTTTCATGACACTGAAGTTTGCCAAAACACTTGTCAGAACTGAAGGGCTCAGTTACAAAAACGTCCTGGAAAACACACAGCAGATTACTGAGTGGTCATGATGCTAAATCATCTTATCAGCTGGAGATAAAAGCCTTTATTACAGACTCACTGATTCACCAGTTTTAATGGAGTATCTGCCCACTACATGAAAGGCTCATTTAGTGGGAACATGCATCCCAAATGTGGCTATCCATCAGCGGATGCTTTAATGATGTAGCACAAAGCTGTATTAAAATATTAATGCCACTGACCACCACTCTGCCACTGTATTGCAGCTCTTGTGGAAAATGCAGTAAGTCACTTCCAACATTAGAGGAAGATCATTGGAGACCTTCTGGATCTGAATGTTTTGCTGACATTCAGCACTAAAGGCAAATGAAGCCCTTTCCCATGAAACTGTCTTTCCATCCATAAATGTGTGGCTAATGAGGCCAAGTTAAAATGAGACCTGTCATCATTTCTGGAATTAAGAGTATCAAGTTACAAATTTTTCTAACACTAGCTCTAAACTGAGAAAACAAACTTTGTAAAATCTCACTTCTTTTAAAGACAACCTGAGTGTCATTTTTCTCTTCTCCTTGTCTCACAGATGCTGTGAGTTTCAGCTTCTAAACACTTCAGTTCCTCATCACACACTGCCACCTGACCTCCCAACATCAGACTGCCCTGTTACCCAGGGGTCATCCTGGTCCTTGTTCTCTCAATCTTATCTATGCACAGAAAATCTGGTCATGCAGCTCCTTTGTCTAAACTTGTCAACAACGTCCCTTTGCTTGTCCCTCTCCCCTCCACAAATACTAACTGAGTGACTCCACTGTTGCAGAATCTCCAGATGAACCGAGGTCTGGGATAAGGGTCTCCAGGGCTCACTGATTCGGTCCCCACATTTTCCCTCGTCTCTGCCACATCTCAATTCCTCAGTCTATTGACATGAACTGCTCATGCTCCCTGAACTTACATGACTGAAGCCTCTGTGTCATTCTCTACAAAGCCGTCCCCAGCTTTCACTGTAGGCATCCTTTCAGATCTGGGACTGCTTATCTAGAAGGCCCATAATGGCCCTCAGCCTCTGCCCCTTGCTCCATCTTGGGTGCTCTGCTCAGAACTTCTGCAAAGCCCTGTGCACATGTACACAATGGCACATCTCCTGTTCTGTCCCTGTTTTCTCTCTGTGCCACTTTCCTCCTGAAGGCAACACTAGCCCCTACTCATCTTTGTGTTCCTCAAAGTTTCTGGAACTGCTGTTCTAGCAAGACCTCAGTGAGTCTGTCAAATGATTTAACATGTGACATGCTGAGCAAAGAACCAAACTGGCCTAATCCCAAAACACATTAGCCTAAGACTGCCACAAGGGGCACAGGCATCCCCAAATCCTGAAAGCACATTCCTCCCACATGACATGACTCCAGCCATGCTGGCAGCACAGCCAATAGCTTCAGCTATAACAGTCACAGTTCTCCTAACCAGGGATTCCCGTGAGGGTAGCCAGGACCTTCCTGCCTTCTTCCCTGATCTGTGTTTTCTATCAGACCGTCAAATATACTTCATGAACAATTGAACACAGTTCTAAAGGGGCAGCAGCAGCAAACGCGCAATCAAACCTGGACCAGATCACAAACATCCCTCTGCAGGAGTGGCTGAATGAGGAGACAAAATGCCAAAAGGAAAACAGGTAACCAAATGGCTCAGCAGGACAATGACACCCTGAAATTGCAAAGTGTTACAAATGGTGCTGGTTTGAAAGGAAGTGGCCCAATGGATGGTTTTATGTGGAGAGAAACGAGGTAAAATTTCTGAGTCTCCCTGTGTGAGGATTGAGACATTCTCAACTCACAAGGAATGGCTAGCTCTACTGCCCCCTTCTCTCCAGGAGCCATGGGACCTGCTTATGGACTGATACACTTTGCAAGTGGCTCCTAGATTTCCTTCCACCTCTGTGCCTCTTTAGCAAGTCTCTTTGACTTACTCAACACACACAGACCGAGGACCTCCTGCTTCAGGCGCCGTCCAGTCTTCACTCTGAGCCTACATTCCTGTGTTCATATCACACGCCATCCACATTAAAACATGGACTCTGCTAACAGCAAAGCCCAGATGCAAAGCTGAAGCTAGGAAATTACCGACCTGTCTACCTCACTCCCTCCAATTTAACTAACTAAATAAATAGAAATTAAGACTTGCATCCAATGTCTTGGAAAGTCTTTTCTCACGGTTCTCCCTCTCCCTACCTTTACTCTGTGGGCTCAGTTTTAAGTGCACAGGATGTATTTTTGTTGGAGGTGATTGCTACAGCATTAACTGAGCAGAGACTAGAGACACAAATCTTCTTTGAGGTCAGCGACCCTACACGGTGAGGAGCAGCTCCATGCAGAATGCTGACAGTGCCCCTCTGAGAAATGCAGCTGGTATTATTTATTTATTATTTTAAAATTTTTTGTGATGCTATACATGGAACCCAGGGTGCTCTACCTCTGAGCTAACGACCCACAGCTGGTCTCTGAGGTCTACTTAACCAACAGAGTCAACTCAGCAGAGGTATGGAATGTCTCCTGGGTGTGAGGCTCACAGGTAAATAGAGAAATCACCAGAAGAGCCAGGATACAGATCCATCTACATTAATAACCACTGAGAGGGAGGCCTCCCTCCCTGGGAGACAAGGAAGAGCTTTGCAGAGGAGATGGTGTATGAAACAGGGTAGCGAGGGGTAGGGGGGAGAGGGAGGGGGAGATGGAACAGGAGAGGGCGGGGGGAAGGGGGGAGAAATGACCCAAACATTGTATGCACATATGAATAAAAGAAATAAAAAAAGAAAAGAAAAGAAACAGCCTTCACAGGATGTGAGACAGGTAGAAATGGCCAGCAGAGGATGACTGCTCAGGGGGTGCCACTCACCAAAGTGTATGTAATGGAATGAAGAAAGATCTCTCCTTCCCTCCCTCCCTCCCTCCCTTCCTTCCCTCCTTCCCTCCTTCCCTTCCTTCATCCATCCCGCCCTCCCTTCTTTCTGTACTGGGGTTTGAACTCAAGGTCTTGAGTTTGCAAGGCAGCTGTTCTACCACTTGAGCCAGCCTCCGGTCCTCTTTTGCTTTAGTGATTTTCAAATAGGGTGTCATGCATCCTATTTACACTTCCTAAGTAATGGGGTGACAAGCGTGTACTTCCAAAGTTAGATGATGGATTGAGACGGGATCTCGTGAACTTTTTGCCTGGGCTGGCCTTGAACTGTGGCCTTCCATCTCTGCGTTTCTAGTAGGTAGGATTACAGGTGTGAGCCATGATGACAGGCTAAAGTTTGTTTTCTTAACAAGCTGACAGAAGAAGGACCTATAGGGAGAATGCTCTTTTGTTGAGGAGATGCCTTGATTATACCACAGAGGAAAATAGGCCTGATCCTGACCAGAAACATTTTGTTTTGGGCAAGAGGAAGGATCTGCTCAATGCTCCGGTGGTAGACGGAGAAGAGTGTCAGGCTGGAGGTGAGGCTCAAGTGGTGGAGCACCAACCTCACAAACACCAAGCCCTGAGTTCAACCCCAGCACACACACACAAAGGGGGTATGTGAAAAGGTGAAATAAGCACCCAAAGACAGGTGTTTTCAACTGCAGGAGCAGCTGGTATCCAAGCCTAGAAAATGAGATGTAAGGGAGAGCTTTCTGTTGTTTCTGAAAATTCCAACCTTAGTAACAGCTTTCTATTTGCTTGTCAACTTCCTTCCTCCCTCCCTCCCTCCCTCCCTCCCTCTCTCCAGGCTGGGGATGGAACCCAGAGGGCCCAGTGCATGCTATTGCTAAAGATAGACAGTGGTTCCCTGTCTTCCCTGTGTCAAAGTCATATATGGCCCTGGAAAAAAATAAATTTAAATTTTCCATATTATCGACAGATGTATTGGTGTACTTGGTACCCTGGTCTGAAAAAAACAGAAATTTAGCAAGTTGCTGTGTATGAGACAGTATGTTCCATTGAAATCAGTTTGGAGGGTGTCTTGTCAAAGCCAATCCCTGTCTCTGTAAAATACAGTACCTCTGAGTTTAGATTTTATCAGCTAAGTGCTGCATAAATGCAGTAAAAGCTTAGGATCCTGTTTTACTTGCAATAAATATCCACTTAGCAAATTGGAAGGTATAGGGAAATGGGGTTCTAGAAAGGGTGATGGTTCCTCACTCACCCAAAGAGGCTGGCTTGCTGTCTACACACCTGGCAGGGTCAAGGGTCAAGGTCAATGCACTGCTGGAGGTCACATCCAGGCCTCCATTCGCTCTGCATGTTTGCTGAACCAATCGCCTAGAGATGCTGAGGTGTTTGTTAAGGCCTAGTGACAAAGGCCTAAAAAAGTAAAGCTTGTCTGCTTTCCTAACACGGAATTAAAAATGTGTTTAGTGGCTTTGGGAGTAAGCAAGCCATGGGATCCATGTCACAAGCTGGCTGCCTCCCTGCCCAGGCAAGAGTGACCAATTGCTGGGATGTGACAGGTTGGTGACCTACTGCCAAGGAGATGATTTAGTGACCCCTGTGCATTTACATAAAACACACTACCTCTGCCATGCAGAGGCACCTCTTGCATCCATGCTAAAGAGCCAACATCCATAGGGACAAGGTGACCAAGAACAAATATTGGCCCCTCTTAGTTTGAGGTCTGACTGTTTGCTGGTCAGAGGCGACTGTGTTGTGAATCTTCTCACTGGCAGGAGGACAAGAGCTGCCCTTGGGCACAGGTGATTTAGGAACAGACCATGCTGGGGGAGCTGTGATAAGAGAGCTGTGTGGGAGACACTGTTTCCTTACCTCCTCTCCTGCCTCGATGTCACGGACTGCACGCAGTAAGAGGTGGGGCCCGTTGAACACAATCGAACAGTTGGGGTCACAGCTGTGATTGAGCAAGGACATGCTGAGGAAGAAAAAGAGAGTCCATCAGTGCACAGCGTCTAGAGTCACACGGTCATACGTAATGAATGCAGTAGCCAAAGACACTTCAGGCTGGGGGCAGAGTCAGGCTCAGTGAGGCCATGGGTAAGTGAAGTCTCTGGTGTGTTCACAGAAATGACCTCATCCTTCTTCTATGAAGTAAAATGCTTCCAAGATGGAGACTAATTAGGGAAGTTGGCTAATAACAAGTTTTGAATCCTTTTTGGGGTGGGAGTGCAGAAATACTCATCTCATCAGATGCCAGTCAGTAAGGGAACCCAACATGAAGATGGGGAAGGAAGGAACTTCAGCCAAGGGGCTGCCTCAACCAATGCTGCAGTCTCCACAGCCTCCACTAACCTCCCCACGACCAGCTTCCTTTGCTGAGTTATCTTGGAGGAACTGGACCCTGCCGATGGCTACACCGAGGGCTAACCGGGGATTCTCTCTCCACAGAGGCTGAAGAGGGCTTGTGATCTACATCAGGTGTGCTCTGTCCAGAGCTGGTCACTCCATCGCCCTGGAGGTTTTACCATCTGGCAGATGGGATGCATCTGAGCTGCTACCTTACAACAGTCATCGTTCGGATGAGCGCTTGCTGTGCAGAAGGCACCTCTCAGCATTAGAGTGTATTTGTCAAATTCAGTCACCACAACGATCCCATGAGCTCCATCTCCAGGTGCAGAGACTGGGATGAGGAGTTAACTGATCCACCCAAGGATGCACAACTGGTTAGTGGTGACAGAATGTGACCCAGGTGGCCTGAACTCAGCCATCCTCTGAACAGCTCTGAGTCATGCTACTAAGAGATCTGACCTGTGCCGAGTGACACTTGTGAGAAGAAAGACAGGAAGCTGATATCTCAGGTTCACAGGTAACAATAAGGAACACTGAGGTCGGAGCCCTGCCTCTCCAGTCAGTACCACAGCACGTAACGAGGAGAGTTAACACTTAACATTTTCACAACTTCTTTAACTTCTCACTCAGTTGTGCACCGGCCTCTTGAGGCAGCTGCTGCAAGCGCCTCTCTGACTACCAGCAAAGGCTGGCTGGGAATTAGTCATGTCTTCCAGTCAATAAAATACAGCCCACTGTACCTGGGGTATAGGCCGACACCAACTTCCTGCATCTCTGCATTACAGATGGTGAACGAGTTGCAGATCACCTGTGAAAACAGGGGGGACAGGCACGGTTACCAGAGTCACCTAAGAAACTTTCCTAGGCAACAGAGTAAGACCTCCAGAATAAAATGTAGGCGTCTTTTAGTAGCTGCTCTGGAAAGATCCAAACCAAACATGGATGCCCTGTGATTTGCAAAATAACTTCTCTGGGGCAAGGTCCCCTGAAGGACCCCACTGTTCTAGTGCAGAAATATCAATGTCCGAGGGAATAACCCAGGTTTAAGGCAGCGCAGAAACCAGTCAACGTAGCATAAGCGACCACCCCGATTACACGAAAGGCTCAAAACTCAGAACCCAAACAGCTACGTCGTGAAACTGCTTCAGTCCTAATGCCGCTGTATCTGAGGAACTCAGCAGCCTGTCTTTTATTCCTACAAAGAGTGAGGTGTTTTGGGAGCTGATGACAGACACCAGAAGCACAGGGTGCTCAGTCAGTCAGGCCACGGCACTTACTGGGCACACAGAGCCCAACACGGATGTGTCATGTGCCCATGTCCTTTGGGTGGACCCGGAAAAGAAACCAAATACACAACTGCTGTGCTCAAGGGACTAAAAAACCTCATCTGTGCAACAGAATAAGTGTAGGAAGGTCTGGGAGGGAGCGGGAGAGGAATCAGCACAGTACAACTAGGTCCTGGCACCATGATTCTGCCTCACACAGACATTAGTGAAAGAGCACTGGATGGGAAAACAAGCTCCTGCTTCGCACAACTTCAGTTCTATGGAATGACAGATTAAAAAAAAAATGACAGAAAAAAAATCACATTGGGATAAGTGCTAAGAAGAGAAATAGGTAAAGTGAAAGAAGAAAAGGAGGTCAAGAAATTCTTTAGGATAAGGTGACATTTAAGCAGTGGGCTGCAGGAACTGTGCACACATAGGCAATGCAGATCCATGCAGGAGGAAGAGCAAGTGCAAAGGCCCTGGGGTAAGAATGCTCTGGGGTACACAGAGCAACAGCAAACAGGCTGGTAAGATACGAAACCAGACAAGGAGCTACATTATACAGGACTCGGAGCCACATTTGGACTTTATTCTGCTGGAGACACAGACATTGGGCTAATTCTGAGCCAAGGAGTGAACGGATATGATTTCTGTTTTGGAAGGCCCACTGTAGCTCTTGTGTAGAGAACAGACTATTTAAAGGCAGGGATGGAGGTGCAGAACACAGGTAGGAGGTAGAGGCCACAGGCCAGGTGAGATGAGCAAACACCAAGTATGGCAAGTGCTGTGTCTTCTGAGTCTTTCACGAAAGCCACAGCAACCTGCCACATGGGCATTTTCCTCTCCAAGTCTGATAAACTGCGCGTTCACATCAGGAAATAAATGGGTGGACACTTGTATGTTTTACACAAATACTGGGTCATTTGCTTTGTGTGTGCATGTGTGTGTGCAATGGATGATAAAACACAGGACAAACGCTTCCGTGTTTGTTTCTGAAATTTGAAACATTTTAAAGCAGGTATGAATTTGGGGAGGAAATGTGAATGTTAACACACACCGTAAAGTATAATAAGAACATTAGAGTAAGTAAGTAATTCACCAATGAGAAAACAGACCTCATTTTTTTAACATTTAAATCAAGTCAAAATTAAACTTTTTTGGACTGTGAAGCAAATTAAAGGTTTTTCCAAAATGTATTTATTCCAATGGAACTTTTAAAGAGGACAGGTGACAAGGGTCATGTCACCGGGGTGGTCCTTCTCTGGGAAGCACAGGTGACTCTATTCATCCCTTTAGCAGCATTTATCGTGTGCAGTCATTACTGACCCCTTCACTTGTCACCAGACACAACTAGCCTGCAAGGTCCTTGAGGACACAGGTGGAGCGTCACCGGCATGGACAAAACACCAAGAGCGCATGTCAAAGAGATGGTGGCTGCGTGGGCGTGGTCCTCACGGCCACCATCTAGGATAGCATCAGGGAAGATGCCAACCCAAGTCACAGGGGCCCTGAACGTGGAAGAGATGTGGAGTTCTGCCATGGAGGGAGTGGGTGGAAGTGACCCCTCTCCAACTGTGTCCTGCTGCTGCTCTCCGTCCACTCTTCCTCTCCAGGCTCACCTTCCTTTGCTCCCCCTCTTTTCCAGGACATGGATCACAGGTTTTTTCATTTGCTGAGCACAGGATTTGCTTGATTCTCTGGCTAAAAATGAGGTCCCGTGCACTGGGCATTAAATATGTGCTTGCTGCATGAATGTGATCCTTGCTTCTCTGTTTTAGCTTCTCTGGCACCTTTCCTTTTTTCTTTAATTTTCTGCCTTGTTTCTCTATCCTGCTTTCACTTTTATCTGTGACTCTCACCTCTCCATCCTGCACTACTCTTCAACATAAGTAAGGTGTTCTGAGGTTTTACTTAACAAGTTCTAGACAAGTTCCTCTTTCGTGCTCTTCTGAACATTACATGGTGGTCTCCTTGAGCCGGGGAATGGGAGGGTCATTTATTAAAGACGCCGGGTCACCTTGGAACTATCTAATTACAAAGAACATTACAAGGAACACTTTTGACATACACAGCCATGATGGACGGGAGGGAGCTCCAGGTTTCTTCAGTTTTAAATGAAAAAAGCGGTAGATAGTATTTCCATTCTGTTCAGGCAACAATTGAAAGGAACCCTTTGGCCAGGCACTGGTGGCTTACTACTGTAATCCTAGCTACTTGGAAAGCAAAGATCGGGCTAATAGTTCCTGAGACCCAACTCCAAAATAATCAGAAAAAAATGGGCTGGAGGTGTGGCTCAAGTGCAAAGCCCTGAGTTCAAATCCCAGTCCCACCAAAAAAAAAAAAAAAGAACTGCTTTGTGTCAAGAAATAAACAAATGGAAATGAAGTCCAAAAATAAATTTAAGGCATTTTAAAGTATTAGCTTTGTATAAACAGTTTTCTAAGGGAGTTGCACATGGCAAAATACTAAGGAATGAATACTTTACAAAGACACATTCAGAAAAGCACACCAGTAGGATTATTTCAATGAAACTAAAAGCAATTAGGCTAAAAGTTTCTTTCTAAAAATCAAGCATGGGTGTTGCTGTAACAATAATTCCCATAGCATGAAACTGGAACGTATAGTTATCACTACTGCATGTGAAGTTTGCTCCTCATAACTTTCCTTTAAAATAACTGAGTCTTCACAACATTGCACTCTATGAGGTGACAGAAACAGGGCTAGCACAGTGGCCAGTGAACCCCTGTCTTTGCAGGAACAGGAAAGTGCAACTGGATTAGTCTCTGTCCTTTGGAGCAGGTTATCAGTCTAGAATGTGACATTTGCTTTCTGAGGTGAAAAACTCCCTGTAGAACAGACACAAATGTCATCAATACCAAGGCACAACATGGATACCTCAGAGACATATATTCACTTTACAGACCACAGGCTCAAAGTCCACATTTCCCCTCACAGTTTTAAAACTACAAGCGTTTTACAGTGGAAGTGGATAAATGAAGATATTTGAGACATGAGGGAAACCCACTACGTCCCTCACCTCGCAGTAGCAAAGCTGAATGGCAATAAGAAAGCTATAAATAACCCAGGGCCAGGCATGTAGCTCAACATGAATCCCAGATACTTGAGAGGCAGGGATCGGGAGAATCGTGGTTCCAGCCAAACGTTAGCTAGATCCACCAACAAGCCGTACATGGTGGTACATGCCTGTAATCCCAGCTGTGAGGGAGGCATAGGTAGGAGGATCATGGTATGAGGCTGACTACTGGCAAAAAGCATGAGACCCTAACTGAAAAATAGCTAAAGCGAAAAGCGCTGAAGGGCTGGAGGTGTGGCTCAAGTGGTTGAGTACCTGCCTAGCAACTGCAAGGCCCTGAGTTCAACCCAGTTCCACCAAAAAATAAAAACAAAAAACTCAACAAACTTGCAGCCTGGCCAGAGCAGAGTTATTCCTGACTGGAATAGAACTACCACTTTCTAGCTCCCTTTTCCTAATTACTGATCTACACAGCCTACTTCAAATAATACCTCCAGCTTCAAAAAATGTGGCGAAAATTTAAATGTTTCAATAGGAGGAACTCAGCTTCTGACGTGGATGTAAAGACTGCCTGCATCGTCTGTGCACCTGTGGCCCCAGAGGAAGGTTTGGCTCACTGGACTTTCACAGTTTGCCATCGGAGGGCTGGGAGGTGAACTTGAACTTTACTGCACTCAGCTGTTCTAAGTTCTGTGGAGTGAAGGGTATGAAAAGGACCAGCAGTTGTCACACAAAATAGCTCCATCCCATCCTAGGATGAAGGGACTGCAGTGTCCGAGGCGAAGACAGTGGCAGAGAAGCCGGCGGGAAGGGAGGTGGGCTCACAGAGAGGTGGCAGCACGGGAACACTGTGCCCACCCCGGTTAACACACGCTTTTCCAGAGGGCTGAGAAGGGGAAGGGTATTTATGACATCTGTTGGCATTTTAATTTTTTAAAAAGTCCTGTGATCACAGACATGCTGGGGAATCTTTGGGGGAGAGGCTAAGCTTAAGGCTGTCACTGCACAGCGGTGACATTACAGAGCCTTCCACCATTTCCTAATCCTGTTATTTTGTCTGCAAACCAAGTGGATCACTGATTAAAGACAAAAAGCAAGAGAGGAGCCCGAAGCACAGGAAACCAAAGGAAAGACGGGTAGAATTGTATCAGCAAAGGAGACAGGGAGTGAAGCAGCACAGAGGGAAGGTACAGGGAAGCCATGCATGGGAGAAGAAATTAACACTGAAATGCACAAGGAACTCAGTTCAATAGTCAGAAAACAAACGGCCCGATTAAAATGGACAAAGGACTTGAAAATACACTTCAAGATAGGCACCTCGTCTTTCAAAAGAAGATGTACCAATAGCACAACGTTCCTGAGAAATGCTCATTCACTAGTGATTAGGGAACTGCAAATCAAAATCACCTTGAGGTATCACCTCATGCCTGTTCACAGCTACTGTCAAAAAGATGCTCACACCTGCAGTCCTAGCCACTTGGGAGGCTGAACAGGAGGACCATGGTT